TCCGCCCTGAGGTTCCTTGGGTTCTCCACGCAGTGGCACCCGCAGACCTGGCAAAATAACACTCCTCTGAGGGTGGCGAGCTGCTGCGAGGCATGGCACAGCTCGGCCACAGGATGATCCGTTCCCCCGCCCACTCCCGCCTCCAACGGCCCAAGATCATCAGGAGGAGGCGAGGGCCCCCTGCCAGGAGGGTCAGGTGTACTCCTAGCAGGGAGGGCATGAATTCGCTGATTTATCTCAGCACGGGGTTTGCAAATACACGGCCAAAATTCACAGAGGGGGCCGCGACGTGCGAACGAACGGGCACACCAACGACACTTAAAGGACGAGGAACGCACCACACACTCATGACCCGAGTCACGGAGTCTGCACAGGCGCTCATCCAGAGACCTCACAGAGGCACGGGTGCGTCCTATTCGTCGGGCTTTCTCACGATCAGAGCAAACTAAAACCTCCCTCTGGACGGACAGAAGGCGGCCCAAAACCTTGAATGCCCGCTCGTCGGCCTATTGGGTCCGTTGGGCCGCTTCATCTGTCACCTGGCCAGCACCAGCAGCCTCGCCCGCAAAAAAATCAGCGGCTTCATTGAGGTAGACCTCAGTGTCGCTCAAAACCATGTTAAACGCCTGAGCCTGGGTGGGGTGACCTTTGGCCCAACGAACATCAACCGTGCCGCCCCGAGCCCCCAGGACCTCATGGTATATCTTCCAAAGATCAAGCATAGACGATTTAGCCTTCATACTTAGGGGGCGACGCACACCTTTCACGACTGCCATATTGTCTGAATATACTCTGACATTGCCAGTTGAGCGCATAACCAGCTGTACAAGTGCAAATAATTCGGCCCGGCCAGCAGACTGCACCTTAGTTGGCAGTGCCCCACTGGCAACGCCGTCAAAGAGGCATGCAGGACCTTGGTGGACGATCGCCCATCCACATCGCCTAAGTCGCCAGTCTTTGTGATACCTACCACCGCTGCCGTCAATTCCCCAGACACCCCCATCCACGCGGGCTCCCGCACTCAACTTTCCCCAATCCCAAGAGAGCTCCATGGGCTCGGGAAGGTGGCCAACACTGGCGGACAAGGGCGGAAGCCCACGCACCCACAAACAGGAGGCTTCAGGGGAACTCAGAGCTTCAGCCTTTAACTCATTCGATCGGTCGATCGCACAATCGGGGATATCATCATTACATCTGCAGGACCAAAATCGATGGGCAGCAGTTTCGGCCTCAAGGCCGCACCTAGGGCACTTGCCATTAGTAGAGGACTCGTAGCCCGCCTTAGCAAGTCGGTCCTCAGTCCAAAAACCCGCGGTCAGAACATGTCTGACCATTCCAGCGGCTTCTAAAGAGCCTTCCCTTCCAAGTTTCCTCAAAAACATCCGAGGGGCAGTAAAATCAACTCCTCCTCCTAAACCAGCTCCTTCATAATGTTTAGCAGCCCCGCTCCACGACATGCCCCCGCACACCTCCATGAGCGTGCTCCAGAGGGCGTGGGGGAAAGCCAGGTCGTTGGAGCGAACGTGCATTCCATTGGGAAAAATCCAATATGCTGGGCTACGCGGTACCACATTGAGGTCGAGGAGCACCGCAATTGTAGCCGCCAGAGGACCACGCACACATTGCCACCGATGCTTTGTCTTGCCGAACTTCTCAACCACAATGTCCCAGCATCGAGAAACCTCCATTCGTTTAGAGTGCGCAAGATCCTGCCAAACATCATAGAAACTCACAAGCTGCTCGTAGCGAAGCCTAAACTGGGGGCCATACTTGGCAGGACTGATAAGCCCCAAAACGGTGGTAGTGCAGGCCCCAGGGTTCCATCTACCACTGCACATGGCCGCTTGGGCTCTCATAGACTGGATTTGCCCTGGAGCAAGCCCCAACACCTGGTGGGGCCACAAGCCGGCCGCGAGGACCCCAAGTTTGTACAATCGCCTCGCGGATCCAACAATACGGGTCAGAAAAGCAACCTTTTAGCCTTCTTGGAGGCCTGGCTACGTCGTTGCATTAACTTCACAATAGACCTCTGTTTACCCGCCGTGGTCATGACCCCCAGATCTCGAGTTGCAGCCTGTAATTGAATATGCAACCCTGTCGCCCTGAAACGTGCTGCTAGCTCACGACCAAGGTCGGTATGGCTGCACACAAGAGCAGACTTGCCAGAACTGGTGCATCCAACTTCTTCAAGCTGGTGGGTCAACAACATGGCGGCAGGCACTAGAGAGTCCAAACTATCCTTCATATTTCCAACCTGAGACTGGGTAATATCGTCAACATAGGATTTAACCTGGACGGGGCGAAATTGTACATGAGCCAAGTCCAGGATATCATACAAGTAAATCTTAACCCATGACATAGATTGCATGCACCCCGCCAGGATACCTCGCCCAGGGGGAATAATATCAGAACCAAAACCGCCAACCTCCAGAACACGAGGGGATTCATGAATCATCGCACCAAGATAGAGGAGGTGGAGCGGGTAGTCCATCTTCACTGCAAACTCAATCAGCCTGTGCGGCTGGACAGTGTCGAACAATCGCTTGAGGCCCCAGTGGGCTCCGACCGAGCAGAGCCCCAACATGCGAGCCATCTCATGGCCGAGCTCGCGAAGTAAGACGGCCTGGAGCGCGCTGGATCCTCTCACAGCGGTGTCCCAATAATTATACCTTTCTAACTTCCATCTATCGAGATCAGAATTACGAGCCTTGCAGTAAACCCTGTACAGGGTAGGGCATTTACAAATCGGACGATCACACTCAATATTCTTAGGAAGCAAAGCAATAACACTAAGATAAACCTGGGATGGCCAGGACAGCGAAGCTTCACACTGATTGAGGAGATGCGTGCACCCCAAAACAGCATCCCTAGGTAAGTCAACCAACGCCCGAGGAGCCCAAGAGTCGACCCCAACCGCAGTAGTGTTGGAAAAACACCTCGCAGCTCTCAACACATCAATGGGTTCCAAGGGGTCCAAAAACCCAAGGGACATGAGGGCGCGAGGTCTGAGCGCATCCAGCACTCCAGAGAGCAAAGACATCCCATCGGGGGAATCCCAAACTTGGCTCCAGAAAGCCTGCCGATATTCCAAGAGATCCCCGGGGAGCTGACGGACCCCTTGAGGGGCCAGGCCAACAGGACTTGGGGCGGTTCCCCAAGGTCGTGTTTCAACCAAGCATGCACCTTTTTCGCACCTTTGGGAAGGGCTTTCAGGAGCCAGTCTTTCATCCGAGCTCTGTACAAGCTCCTTGCAGCCTTCCAGGCTGCACTCACGCGAGTAGAAATAGCACCCGTCAAGGCGTCGAGTCCTTCGACCTCAGTGGGAAGGGAACAAAACCGGGCGCGCCACCAGCCGATGCCGTACGCATCGTCGGCACAGATGTATTTGTCCAGCTGCGAAGCTAAACCTTGAGGGACGCTACCTAAGCTCGCGACCATGTGCGAAGACTTTCTTGCCAGGTAAAGTCGATATGCATACATCTTTTGGGAAACTTTGGCCCAATAAGCCAATTCAGGTTCGCGAAAACTTTGGCCAGCAGGGCCCCTCCGTCCAGTCGTCGATCGTCGAAAAACTGGAAATTCACCTCGTTTTACCTGGCACGCGCTGCGGTCGACTGCAACCGCACGAGACTCAAACATGGCTTCGGTCGCTCTAGACCAAGTGCGATACATAGACGTAAGCTTCTCACTTAAATTGTCATGAACATGCGGCACCAGTGCATTGTAAAACTACCCAGGAACTTCAGGCAGCACTCTTTCACGCCCAAGACAAGCAGCGGCGTTTAGGAGATGCTGTGACCAGGGTAAATCAGGCCCATGACAATTAGGGAACGATATAGGTTTACCACGTTGCCACATATGCTGTTCCAGAGCTTCATGCTGTATGCAAACTTTCAGGCAGACATGAGTTTTGAAAGGGGCTATGAGTATATGTACTAACATGAACGTAATCAGCCAAGTCGCTTGAAGCGATAACATAAAGTGTGCCACGTCCCTGGGTACAAGTGAACTCGACATCTCCTGGTGCAATGCAGCGTGCACGAGCAAGCTTCGGGAAACCAGACAGGTCCATGTCGCTCACTGGTACATTGAAATCTCCCATCAAGAGCCAAGGGATGGCGAGGGTCCCAAGGAACTCGGAAACGGCACGGATGCGCTCGATGTTTTCCCCAGGAAAACCAGGTCAGCAATCGCATAAATCACGCCGACAGCAATGACACATTCTTTGGTTTTGAGCTCCAAAAATTGCCAGTTGAGGCCGCTGCCAAAATCTGACAAGCTCGGATCCGAGGACAAAAAAAACGTCGGAAACACAATCCTTTGGAAACCACGGCTCCTACTCCTCCATGAGTACCCCCTCCAGGGGAGGGGAGGGCTGGTCTCAGATGCGGCCTCCAGCCAATCTGAGCTGCATTGCGTTTGGCGCGCGGGAGGTCCTTCAGAAGATGATGCTCAGCAACAAAGAAGCCGTCGCACAAGGGCTTAATCTGTTGCAAGAAATCCAATGTCACCTGATTCCATGATGTGATATTGCAGAACATCAACTCAATCGCCGAGGACTGATTGCGAATCCTCGACGCCTCCAGCGCGCCAAGTTGGCTAGGAACGCTGTAAACCAGATGCTTGCCCACCGCCAGCTTGAGAACGTGCGGGTCCAGCGGTGCATGGCTGCATCTGTTCCAATACACGGTTGAAGGAGGCCGCGGCGCCATCGCGAACAGCGCGGAGACGCTTGGCGGCCTTGATGTGGGACTGCTTCTGCATGAGTTTCTCGAGCTTAACCAATTCTTCTGGGGATAAGGCTGCATCAATACTACGCTTCTTGAGCTGCTCGAGCTCGGCGCGATTCTGCTCCTCATCACCCAAATCAGAAGGAGCTTCTGAAGCCGCGTCTTGATCCAGGTGGGTCCTGGACTCCTTGATCTGCAGCCAGAACTCGAAGCGCTGGTTGAACTTGGTACACCAATCTTGCAACTCTTGACGGGACATACCCACAATGCCTGGGGGTTCAGGAACTGGGCCAGCAACTCCACCAACTTCACTAGCAGCTGGATGGCCACCAGTGGGGGGTTGAACTTGCCCAGGTCGCGAAGAAGGGGAATCACCATCAACTTGCATATCTTGAGCACCCCCTGCAGCAGGGGCGACATGCCCACGTGCATCAGCAGCACGACACTCACGCTCATGTAGATCACGTTTAGCTTGTTCTTCAGCCACCACCTGCCGTCTGTACTCCAGAGGGTCGGTCCAACTCAACGTAGGCGGCTTTGTGGGCCGCAGCGGCGCTCTCCAAGTTCTGGACAGCCTCCGCGTGCGCCATCTCCGCCTTGGCCAGGGCGTCTTTATGGCGTAATACAGCCGCCATACGTTGTTCCACCTCATGTAATGCCAAGCGCTCAGCCTTAGAATCACGTTCAACTGCCATGGCAAGGGCGGTACGCTGCTTGGCCACCTTTCTGTCCAACTCGTTGTCGGACGACGCCACAGGCTCAGGGCCTGGAGCGTGCGGACCTTGGCCGCGAGCACCTCGAAGAGCTTCAGCACGATCAGGGAAAAGTGTGGCCAGCCGTTCAAGTTCGTCGTCCAGCGAAGGGCCTTGCACATGCCCTCTGCTTTTGCGCCAACGGCCCACGCCGCGCTTGTCACCAACATCACGAACTCCACTATGCGGCTGGCCGGGGTACTCACCTTTGCACTTGGAGCAGCACTTGTGTCCATGGAAATCGTACTCCCAGTGCCCACATAGCGCACAAACGCTGTACGCCTGCTTCGTTTGCGGGCCAAGGCCACCTCGCCGAGGTGGCAGCTGCTTGGTCCACGGCGCATAGACCCAGCCCGTCACCCAACTGCGCCCAGGGTGGGTTCGGGCCAGGTGCTCCAACAGGAGCTCACGGAAAGCGAAGAAGAGCGGTTCACCAATGAACCTGAAAGCTGGCCGAGGCAGCCAAGCCTCAGGAAGGGGCTGCCCTTCCACCTCGGCCTCGAGCCTCGGGAGTCGGGACGGGAGGTAAGCTCCGTCTTGAGCCAAAATGGCTACGGCATGGGGGGGGGGAGGAGGAGAAGAAGAAGGAGGAGGTAGAGAAGGTGGAGGAGGAGGAGGAGGACGAGGAGGAGGAGGAGGAGGAGAGGGAGGTGGGGGAGGAGGAAGAGGAGGAGGGCAGAGGAGGAGAGGAGGAGGAGGAGGAGGAGGAGGAGGAGGTGGAGGAGGAGAGGAGGAGGAGGAGGAGGAGGGGAGAGAGGAGGAGGAGATGGAGGAGGAAGAGAAGAAGGAGGAGGAGGAGGAGAAGGAGGAGGAGGAGAAGTACGGAGAAAAAACGGAGGAGGAGGGAGGAGGAGGGAGGAGGGTAGGAGGAGGGAGGAGGAGGAGGAGGGAGGAGGGAGGGAGGAGGGAGGGAGGGAGGAGGGAGGGAGGAGGAGGGAGGGAGGGAGGGAGGGAGGAGGAGAGGAGGAGGAGGAGGAGGAGGAGGAGGGTGACGAGGAGGAGGAGGAGGAGGAGAGGAGGGGAGGAGGCGAGGAGTAGGAGGAGGAGGAGGAGGGGGAGGAGGAGAAGGAGGAGGAGGAGGAGGAGGGAGGAGGGAGGACGGAGGAGGGAGGAGGAAGGAGGGAGGAGGAAGATTGAGAAGGCCCCCCCCGAGCCCCAGTGGGGGCCTCACTTCGGCGTGTTCGCTGTGATTCATCCTCTCTCATCTTCTCTTCTCTGAGGAGGAAAAAGGCAACCATACCTCCACCCTTGCCTCATTTCTCCCTTTTGGGGCCTCCTGAGAGGCTTTCGTCGCCACCGCTGGATTCGCCTCGAGCTTTTGGTCAGACCGCACCCTGGGAAAGGTCAGGGCAGTAGCGGTATGGGTACCTTCTTGGTCTCCCCATCTTGGGTGCAACGGCTGGGAGGATATGTGGAGGTAACAGCACACGCCGGGGCAAGGGGCCGCGGAAGAGTGGAGAGGCAGCCCAGAGCGGGTGGGGGCTCCTTGCTGGCGATGTCTACCAGGAAGGTGCCGACCATGAGCTGACGGCGGCAGTGCTACCGATCCCTGACCTGCCTGTGCTGCCCATCCTCCGCTCTCCTGTCTCACCACCTCCTCTCCCAACCACACTCTCCTCCTCACGCTCCTCATCCTCCTCATCCTCATCATCCCCGCCTTCCCAGCGACCATCCTCTGCACCACATCTTCCTCCTCCCTCATCCCACTCCCCAACGCGACACTCCCTCGAAGCCCGTGTAACTCCAACTGTTCCTACTCCCCGTCCTCCTCTTGCTCCTCCGCCTCCTCTCCCTCCCACTCCTCATCATAATGCTATTCCTCTTCCTCGTCGTCATAGTCGTCGTCGTCGTCCTCCTCCTCCTCCTCCTTTTCTTCTTCTCCTCCTCCTCCTCCTCCTCCTCCTCCTCCTCCTTCTCCTCCTCCTCCTTCCCTCATCACCATCTGCCTCCTTCCTTCTTCCCCTGCCGCTGGCCCTCCTCCCCACAACTCCGACGCGGGGACTCTCGGCGCGGACCCTCGGGAGTCCGGGCCTCTTACCCGGGGACGGGTCTGCCATCCAACAGCGTGCGTGACGGCCCCATCCTCCTCCTCCTCCTCCTCCTCCTCCTCCTCATCCTCCTCCTCCTCCTGCGCCTCTTCCTCCTCCTCCTCCTCCTTCTCCTCCTCCTCCTCCTCCTCCTCCTCATCATCATCATCCTCATCCTCATCATCGGCATCCTCATCATCAGCGTCACCACCATCACCATCACCATCACCATCACCATCACCATCACCATCACCATCATCCTCATCCTCATCCTCATCATCATCATCATCATCATCATCATCATCATCATCATCATCATCATCATCATCATCATCACCATTCATTATCATCATCCTCATCCTCATCCTCATCCTCATCCTCATCATCCTCATCATCATCATCATCATCAGCATCAGCATCATCATCATCACCATCACCATCATCATCATCACCATCATCATCCCGCCTCCTCCTGCCGGGCCCGAGAAGGGCCTCCGGAGGCCGAATCTGGCCGGACAGCTGCCGTCGTGCTTCTTTCGGCTCTTGCCCGCAACGAGAGGAGGCGCGGTGCTCCCGAGCCGGCCTGACCAGCGAGAAGAGGGCGCCCACGCGCGACCTTACGCAGGAGGCCTACGCGCGACTGTCCGCGACTAGTCGACCCGTTGTTTCCCTCGCTCTGATCCTCTGATGCCCCCCTCCTCCCCCGCGCCCCCCTGAGATCCGACGCTGCAGAGACATGCAATGTGGCGAAACGACGCGACGAGGACCCTCGACCCTCCATAGGGTCCTTCTGGAAGCTCATGCTGTTGACATGCATCATGCATGCCCTTCTTTTCACTCTTGGCACTGAAGGCCACTAAAGGCTGCTAGAAGCAGCTGACGGCCACCACATGCTGCTAAAAGGCGCCCACAGGGCCGCTAAAGGCCGCTAGCCATACACCACAGGCCGCTACAGGCCACTAAAGGTTACTAAACCGTGGCGGTATGCTAGAATGAGCTCCCAAAAAGACTCACCCAAGGACCCAATCATTCTGCTGCATCTTCCGAGCCGGATCGATCTGTGGTGGTCCTGGGGCCTAAAAACGGGCGAACACGCCCGGTGTGCAAAAAAAAATCGCAACGCCAGGATGACAGGGTCTCCTCTGGCCCCCCCCCCCTCCCGCGCCGCCGCCCACGCCTGCAGCATCGCCGAGCAGGTCGCGTAGAAGAAGTTCGGAGGCGACGACAGGGGCGAATAGCCCGGGGGGTGGGGGGACAATAAATGTATCCAATGCCGATGGCCCATATCTTCGGCGAGGCTCCAGGAGGGGTGCGTGTGATGCCCGCCCCCGGGCTACGGCGAGGGCATTGGACAAGGAACCCTTGGATAAGGACCCCAGGGTCTGGAAGCCGGTGGGACGCCCACTGAGGCTCCATCATGGACATTACCGCCGCCCTCATCTGACAAGGAATCTTCCAGGCTCTGAAGCCTCCTGGGCACATACGAACGCCCCCACCGTGCATGCAATGCCCGCCCTTTGGGCTACTCGCCCCGATCGCCGCCTCCGAGAAGTACACGGCGAAGAGCCCCGCGGCCGAGCTCACGAGCAGCGCGATCAGCAGCCGGGCGCGCGGTCGCTGAGCCAGCAGGACGGCCAAAGGCCCTAGGATCCTCCACCATTGTTCTCTCGGTCTTTCTCGTCGTCGTCGTCGTCGTCGTCGTCGTCGTCGTCGTCGTCGTCGTCGTCGTTGACCTTCTCCTCCTCCTCCCTCCCTCCCGCCCTCCCTCACTACCTCCCTCCCGCCCTCCCTCCCTCCTCCACCTCCCTCCCTTCTCCCCCTGCTTGGCCCCGCGGGGTCCTCTTCCTAATTTTTCTGCTGAGCTTTCTCGTCGTCCTCGTCCTCGTCCTCGTCCTCGTCCTCGTCCTCGTCCTCGTCCTCGTCCTCGTCCTCGTCCTCGTCCTCGTCCTCGTCCTCGTCCTCCTCGCATCCTCCTCTCCTCCTTCCTTCCTCCTCCTCCTCTCTTCTCCTCCTCCTCCTCCTCCACCTCCTCCTCCGCCTCCTTCCCTCTCCTTTCGCATTTCTCTCCTCCTCCCTCCGTCCCTTTCCTCCACCTCCTCCTCCTCCTCCTCATCCTCCTCCTCCTCCTCCTCCTCCTCTTCCTCCTCCTCCTCCTCCTCCGTCTGGAAGACATCAGCAGGGGCGAGACAGTGTCAGATCACAGGCCCTCAGAAGAGCTAACTAATGTATACTGGTGTTGCAAGTGGACCGTCTGAGGGTCCCCAAGATCAAACAGACCGCCCTGCACCAAAAGAGACGAGGGGGCTGGAGCATTCGAACGGCTTCCTGTTTCTCTGTGGGAGCCGCCGTGGCTGTCGATCACACACCCGTTGCTTGAAAGAGTGACGATCGCATCATGGGCCGTCCTGCGAGCAACGAGTCAGGCGGAGGGAGGAGGAGGAGGAGGAGGAGGAGGAGGAGGAGGAGGAGGAGGAGAAGGAGGAGGAGAGGGAGGAGGAGGAGAGGAAGTGGAAGTGGAGGAGGAGGAGGAGGAGGAGGAGGAGGAGGAGGAGGAGGAGTACCAGGAGGAGAAAGGGGAATCAGGACAAGGCACGAAAAGGAGGGCAACTCTCTTCGCGCCTTGCGCTCAGCGAAGCGCTAAGCGCGATTAGCTTCGCGCTTTCGCGCCGTCTTCCCCTGGAACAGCATGAGGGACTCGCGCCTCGCTCTGA